TTTTTTTCTCCTTTATCAGTCGTCGCGCCATAGCGGGCCTGGGACTCCAAAGAGGACCCCGTCGTACTATGCGCAATCGGAACAATTAAGCTGCGCACGTTGGAAAAAGAGGTGGCGAATGAGCAGGAGGAAAAGGAGAAGGATGAGAAATGAGGAGGACGAGGACGAATAGCAGCAGCAGGAGCTGGAGTGGAAGCAGCGGGAGAAGCAAGAGGACCAGGGGAAGGTGGAAGAGGAGTGGAAATGAGAGGCCGGGGTGTTTTGGGAGTCCCCTCGGCCGCACAGGCTGTATCAAAATGACACTTCAAATGACCAAAAAACGTCTGACCTTTTAGCATCGATGGATCTGTATATAATGCGGGTCTACATACACGTCCACGCATACATGCATGATCGCAAGCATACGCGCACGCATGCTACTCACGGGGACGGGGGGGCCTCCTCGCCCCCTCCTCGTCACCCATTTCCTTATCCATCTATCCATCCTGCTCTTCCCGCTGCTGCTCCTCGTCCGATTCACTATCCTGCTCTTCCTCCTCATCCTTTCCTCTTCCTCTTCCTCATCCGCTTCTTCGGCCCGTTCCCCCTTCTCGCCCACCAACCATCCTCCCCTTTTCTCTCCCTCTTCCGTTTTCCCCGCATCACCAGTTGTACTCCCTTCGTCCTCTTCCTCAGCCTCCTCCTCCTTCTCCCTCTCCTTCTCCCCATGCGCTTCCTCGTCCTTCCGCCCCCCCCCGCCCCTCCTCGGCGTCGTCGTCGATCTCCTCATCCTTATGATCTGTCTCTCTCTCTCTTTTTTCTCTCTATCTCTCTCTCCCCAACCCCATTCATTGATATTCCTTGTTGCCTCGCCATGCCTTTTCAGCGACCGATTTCAAGACGGCCCACGAAATCCCCGACCCCCACCCCCTGTGGACAATAACTTCAGTTGTGTATACCGATGTGGTTTGCTTTGTGGGCTTGACTTAGGCTGTTGCTTCGTGGTTTTGATCATGGCTTAAACACTTACGGTTTGATAAACACCATATGACGTGTTGGATGTGTCGGTTGCGGTGGCAAAAGCGGATGCCCCACCATCACCGCCACACTCATCATCCAGTGGCGATGGAAAAGTATTGGCGGTGGATCCGGGAGGAAAAAGCACACCCGGGGGAGGGGTCGGGATCTCGAGCTGGGGCCGCGGATTGAACAAATCCGCTGACCCCTCGGGGCCACGGCGGGTGAGCTGCTCCCCCCTCCCCAAACCCCTCCCCCGGGAGCCGGGTCCGGCCGGTTTGGAAGGGGGGTGGGTGGGGGACAAAGGTGTCGGCCGCACCCTTGGAGCCTCAGGGGTCCCAAAACGGGCCAAGAGGGCCCCAAGAGGCACCCCGGACGGTCCAAGAGGGCTACGAGTCGCCGAAAGATCGCTCTAAGACGCCCAAGATCGCATCCAGACGGTCCCAGAGGCCTCCAAGACGCCCCAAGAAGCCACCAAGAGGCGTCCCAAGAGGCCCTCCAGAAGCAAAAAACTCATATTTTAACACATTCGCCTCTTGAGCTTTCACAAGGCCCACAATGGCCCAAGAAGCCTTCAAGATCGACCCAAGATAGCCCAAGATGCCCCCAAGAGGGCTCCAAGAGGGCCCAAGAGGGCCCCAAGACGGCCCCAGAAGCTTCCAAAACGACCCAGGAGGGCCCCAGGACGGCCCCAAAAGGAGGCCCAGAGGGGGAACCCGAATGAACATTTCGAGCACTCGGCCCCGAAGAAACCTGAGGAGGCGCCAATAGGCCCCCAAGGGGCTCCCACGAGGTCCCCGAGAGGCCCAAAAGAGGCTCCTCGAGGCCTCAAAACGGCTACCAAGAGGCCTCAAAAGTGCTGCCAGGAGAGCCTAGAGATGCCCAGGAGCAGAGCGGCGATCCGCCAACCGCCCCCGACGACATCCCACGAAACTGAAACCTCAAGATTCCCCAGAAACCGTTCCGCAAACTCCGCTTTCCACTCTACAGTAGAGGCCCGACCACAAGAAACCTTCCACAAGAAACCCAACCCTGAGACCCCAGGACGTCTATCGATTTTTGGTATGGGAACGTCACGTTCTCCATGGCAAAACCATCGAAACCCAAGAAACCCAGGGCACCCTGGAGGTAAGCAGGGTGTTTCTTGACATGGGCCCCCACTGTAACTGCCGCCCCAAGGGGTCGGCGGCGCGGCGCCAGCCACTCAATCACATCGGCGGATGTCTGGGCCGCCACACGCTGGGGAGGGCGGTGGCCAGCCCCCTCCCCATGGAGGGCTGCTGGGGCCAGCTCCCAGGGGAGCAGGGGCCCTCAGATCCGACGCCTCGCACACAAAAGCAGCATCGTGGAGCTTGGCGACGAGAGCCCCCGCGGGAGGAGCAGCAGACCAGAAGCAGAAACTGTGGGAGGTCGGCGCGGATCTCCCGGATCCGCGCTGGAACCCCCCTCCCTGGACCGCGGAGCGTGCCAGTGGCGGCCCCGGAGGCGCCGCCAGGGGGGCTCCAGCGCAGATTCGGCGTCTCGAAACGAATGCAGCATGGCAAGCAATCGCGACGGGGGACGGCGAGATTTCAGGAGAGTGCGGCGGGAGAGCGCGACCGCCCTACCTAAGGCACCGCTGGACATTGGAGGCGGCTGGGGGGTCTGGCCTGGCTGGCACCCCAGAAAATCGGGCCGGAAGCCAAATCCGCTCAACATCGGCCTTTCATCCTGGATCCGTTTTTGACGGACCTGGGGCCCACCCTCGGAGGCCGAAAAAGGCAGACAACTTTCCCGAACCCAGAACCTCGAACCTGCCCGCTCTTCTTTGAGGGGCAACGATAGGGGGGAACTGGCACAGGGGGGGGATGCATCGACCTGGAATCGGCGATACGTCGCCGATAGATCGGCGATAGGCCTCTGATAGGGAGTTCGCACCTTCCTGGGCAGGTTGGGGCTATCGGGCCCCTGACGGCGACCCCTGGGCGATTGGGGGTCGATGCATCCCCCCCCTTATGCCTATCCCCCCCTAGCGTTCTCCCCTGATTTTTGCTGGCCGGAACCAGTGCTGGGCCACCTCGGACCCCCAGACAGCTCCAATGCTGGGCAGCGCCGCATTCCGATCAGCCAAAAAGGGGACGTTGGCACTCTGCGGGCCGGGCGCCACCTCTCTCTGGGGGGGCGCGCGGCCTCGCCGCGTGTGAATTCCGTGCCGCGGCCGCGCCCCCTGCTCGGCGGCACGCCGGCGGGGGGCGTGGCAGAGGGGGTGGCCGCTCTGGGGCTGGGACGCAGAAGGGTCGTAGATCGTTTCTCGAGCGGTCTGGCCAGCAGGCGCCCGCCACGAGGCGGGTACTACGAGATTTCTCGGCTCGCGCGCGCGCCGCTCCTGTGGGGCCCGACTCACGCATGGTGTTGGCATGTTTGGGCGATGCCGATGGGTGGCGACATCCGAACCCCACCCCCAACCACCAACGGTCCTCCTGAATCGATGGGAGGAAGAGGAGGAGGAGGAGGAGGAGGAGGAGGAGGAGGAGGAGGAGGAGGAGGAGGAGGCATCACGCGAAGCCCAAGAAACGCCCCCCTCGGCATTTTCCGGTGGTGGCCTGCCCTCGCGCAACCACGCAGGGAGCGGCCCTGTAGGCCTCCCGCGGCGTGCCCGCGGTGACCGGCCGACGGGGGGGGGTCGCTCGAGGGCGCCAAACTCCGGGCGCGCAGGCCGGCGCTGGGACGGCGATCCCCCACCAGAGGGTCATCGCAAGTCCACGACGGGGCCTTCTAGGCCCCGTCGTGGACGCGACGGGGACCCCGCCTGCTCGAAACAGGAGCTAAAAGCGGCCAAGATCTGCTCCAGGAGGGGGGGGGAGGGAGGGGGTGCGAGGGCCCACGCCGATCGCACGACATTTGTTTTGTTATTTTCGGCCTCCGGGGGCCCTTCCCGGGCCTCGGAGCCGTCAAACAACGACTCAGGACGAGAAACCGGTCCTGGGGAATGGGTCCAGACCTCTGGGGGTCGACGTTGTTTGAAAATCACGACGTCGGAGGTCTGGGAATACAGGCGCGACGTGTATTGAGGACGGGTGCTAAGGACGCAGGACCCTTGAAGGCCGAAGTTGGGATGTCTTGGGCGGCGGGCGACCAGTGGAAGCGGCAGAGGAAGGGCCGCAGAGGCAATGACACAAGGGTGCCCTAGATGAAGTCGCGCGTCCTTACTAGGCGCGTTGACTGTAACAAGGGATACGTCGACCCCTATCCCAAGCTTCGTGGTGCTTTTGAATGGACCAGAAATCCGGGGCCCAAGCCTGGGATATACGAGGGAGGGGGCTTCCATCCTCGATAGTGGTGCGTCCGAAGAGCCCTTGGGGGTGTATCCTAGGGTTCCCATTTTTTCTGAGCGGCCAAACTTTTCGGGGGGAACTCGTGGGTTGGGGGAGAGAAATCGCCTGGTCCCTCTGGCGAAGGGTCACTCTCACGTGCAGCCAGGCCCCAGCCGTGCACAGCGACAGCAACACCGAACACCGACCGAAGCGACAGCGACACCGAGACGGGCCAGAACCAACAGGCCGGAAGCAGCCCAGCAGGGCGCAGCGGCGCGGCAACTATCCGATAACCGACCGAACCGAACTGACCGAACGCCACCGACTGCGACGCAGCCGAACCGACCGAACCGAAAACACCCTTGCAAGTAAGACGAGGCCAGGACGAGGATACACCGCGTGAAGACACATCGAGAATCTCTGAGGTGCGGCGGCTCTGGAGCGTTTGGGAACGGTCTGAGAGCGTTCCGGAAGGCTCTGGAACGGATTTGTCCTCGTCCTAGCCCCGTCCGGCGATGGCGGCGTCGTCGTCGTCGTCGTCGTCGTCGTCGTCGTCGTCGTCGTGTGTGCGCCTCCCGTCGGCGCCAAGCGCCGGGGCGCGGCGCGTGCGCGAGCTGCGCCGGCCGCGGGGGGGGCGCGACGCGCGCGCACGCTCACGGCGCGTGGGGGCGGCCGCGGGCTGCTGGTGCCCGCGGCGCCGGGCCGCCACACTCAGGCGGCCGCGTCGCCGGC